TATATTCAACGATTAAATATTGAAACTATTGGTACTGGTAAGACAGAATGTTAGAAAAACTCCATAAATAATAAGATGTTGTAAAAGAGTAGTTATTATTGTAATTTTCTCAAAGAATTAATCGCTTAAGAAAATAACCAATTTAGTCTTTATAACCTGGGTAAGGTTATAAATTACCCTAGAAAATCATTAACTTACCATGAAAAAATTAGACAGGGGAAAAAAAAAAGGCAAAGCAAAATCAATTTGACAGATTTTTTGAAAAAAAGAAAAGATTCCATCAAAGCGTTATATTTTTTTCCCCTTCAACTGTCATTATTTATGTGGGGACTCATTGAAAACTGATACATTAATTCATTTATTTATTGTTTACAGGCTTTCAAGTGTCATTTGATGTTACCTGCTCATTCAATCTTTGCCTTTTGGTTACTTTTTCAGGTTTGTCATATATAAATAAGAAATTTAATAAAATACAAGTAAAAATTTTGTACCGCTTATTTAAGTTAATTTCTTCTTTTTTTTTCAGGCGAGAAAGTTAGACAAAGCAAATTATGTCCAGGTAACTATAAAAATATGCACCTTTGACTTAACTGCATGTCCTAACGAGTAATGAACTATTAACATTGATCACAAATTTGATATTATTATATGTGCAGGAAGCAAGCGCAAATTTTTATGAATTCCTTTGGAAGCTTCTTACATTAGAATTTCTCTTATTTCCTTTTATATAGGAAATTAGTTTGTTGCAAGTTGATCATACGTTTTTCCCTTATAAACTATGGTGGGGTAGGGAATAAAGTTAGTTGTGTGTACTATTGTTAAGATACTATCACTGTATTTCTTTTAATTTTGAATAAAAGCAGTAAAGACAACTAGGTGTGTTTGAAGTTGTTTTCATTTTTATTTTTCACGTTTTTCAAGAAAAAAATGAAAATAGGAGAGAAACGGTGTTTGACACACTTAAAGACAAAAAAAAAGAAATGAAAATGATTTTTTGGTTTAGTGTTAAATGGGAGAGAAATGAAAAACGAATTTTAGTCGTTTTTCATTTTTTGTTTATGTTTTCTCCCTTCTTGAGTAGAGAGAGAAACATTAATGGATGTTTTTATACTGAAAATAATTTCTTAAAAAAACTACCAAACGTATTTTCATTTTTTATTTATGTATGAGATTGAAAACGTTTTCATTTCTATTTTCATACGAAAAACAAAATCAGTTTAGAACGAATTCTAAACGCACTCTATATATACATATTGCAAACAATGTGTTATAATAAGTAACAACAAATAATCATTGATTATGTGGAGAATAAGAAGATATCATGCATTCTTTTCAATTGACATATACACCTCAACTAGAAAAGAGATAATTACCAATTCAAAATTGTCTTCGTAGGAGATATTTGGTAAATGGATTCATACTAGGATTTGAATCATAGTTTATAATTCGTTACAGTGTTTTCTCTCATAAAAAATACACGTAAATCAAAAATAATTCTAATCTCATAATTCTAATCTATGAACTAAACGTCTCCGTAATAGTTCATATAAGTATTGGGAAAGATAATTTCCAACGCCAAAAAGGCATCGTCACATCGGTTGGTAGGAAATCAACGGCTAAGCAGCATTTTAAAGTGTATTTGAAGTGGTGCTTTAGACGCCTCCTCTTACCTAGAAAGCTACGTCGACCATATAAAACCTAATTATAATTTAAATTGCAAAAAGAATAATCCTCATAAAAATTAACATGTACCGCGAAAGCATATATAATCGTTTTACTTGTAAGCTAGATATATAAAATAAGTAATATCTTGAGAGGAAATCTATGAAGAACAGTACTGATATACCATATACTAGGATTAGAGAAAATGATTAAACATTATTGATCGTAATGTAATACTAAATGTTGGGTTTGAAAAACATACTCAACAGAATGACTTTTAAAATTTTTTCCTTAAACTCCAGGAATAGCTTCATAGTGCTACATAAATTTTGTCGTATCTAGTTGGCAATACAAATTTATTGTCAATTTTTTTTTTTTTTATAAAAACAAAATTTCCAAAGAAGAGCAGGTCAAATTATTGGAAAAATCATGTATTTTCCACTCAAAAACAACTTCACCGTGAACAGTTTTTGTGAATAGTACCGCACACGTGAATAGTACGTATAGATTAACAGTATCATACGCAGTAGAAAAACCTGACAGAATAACTATTGAATATTAAAAACAAATAAAAGAACATCATAATTGATAATAGAGTTCGGCAAAATATTGTCTGCGTCTACGGACACTGTGGATCACTCTATTTATTAAAGAGAAGAAAGATTACAAATTGAACAGAAATTACAAATGCTTACAAATTAAAAATCTAAAGAATTTCTTACAAATTAACAAAGGAGAAAAGCTCTCAATTTTTGTATTTATAGCCTCGGCCTCTCCTTCTTTTACGCGTGAACTAACTATACAGTTGGGTTCACTTTTTAAAATCAATACCCTTTTTTATACTTTCTCTTCTTTTCTTTGTCTCTGGCTTTCTCTTTTAATTTTTAACAGAAATATGTAGTCTATATTTTTTATAATGAGTCACCCATATCCACTAGCACAAATTAATTATGTCATAAAAACAACTCAACAAATATTTGAACAGCGAAACAAACGTGGAAAAAAATCGCATGCCACTTTTGAACAATTCAGCTGTGAAGCCCACCGATTTTTCTTTTATTATTATGTAGAAAATGCGTAAAAAAAATTATGAACACGATTACCATGTTTATAAATAAAAAAACTCATGTTAGTAAACGGTTACCGAATTCTAGATGTAGGTGATATTTTAATATTTAAAATTTACCATGTCTATAAATAAAAAACTCATGAAGTTAAACGGTTATCCATATCTAGACGTAGGTGATATTTTAATATTTAATTTTACCATGTTTATAAATAAAACATGAAAGTAAACGGCTATCGCAATCTAGATGTAGGGGATATTTTAATATTTAAAATTAAAAATAAAAAAAAGAACATATTCAGGTGGTAGACTATCAAACGTGTTCTGACAAAATATAAAAAAATATACTGCTAAAAAATATTATAATAGAACATAAAAGATATTCTATCTATTAATGACATAAACGGTAAATTTAAGATTGATGATAAAATGAAGTAGTGTTATTCTTGTTCATTTACAATTTTTTAAGTCATTGTGACTTGAGTTCAGATCTTGATTTGAGTTAAGGTGCATTTGAGTATGATTTGAGTTGTGACTCTAATTTGAGTTTGTATTTAGATGTGCACATTTTGAGTTATGTTTTGAATTGAGAATCTATTTAAGTTTGTGTTTGGGCTGGTCAAAACTTAAATTTATATTTAAATATTATTTTAATAAAAACTCAATGGTGATGAAAAATTTTAATAGGATATATGGGTGAGATTTTATTCGTCTTTTCGTTGTGAACGCATTATTAAAAAAAACATCTCAATCGGAATGAAAACGAAAAAGTTATGACATTTTTAAAAATAAAAAAAATATTATTTATTAACTTGAGTTTGAGTTTAGAAACTTGAGTTAAAGAAGGAAGTTGAACTCAGATTTTAGACTCAAATTCAAGTTAAAACTCAAGTTTAAATTTAAATTTTATAAAAAAAAATTAAACTTAAATAAAGTTGTAATTTGAGTTTTAATTTTTTTCTTTTGAATTTGAATGATTAGACAAGCCTAGCTTCGCAGTAGTGAGAAAATCCCTTGTATTTGAAATGAATTTTATTGCAAATGCAGTAGTTACATCATGATGAGTACTAGGATTGGTTGTGTCAATTTCTTCTAAAGTCACTTTTCCAATCGCCATTTTTTCAAAAGAAGAAGAAAACAAAAACACGTTAAAAGCACACTTTTAAAGAAATGGTTATGGTCGTGGGATGACAAAAACCCACCTACCCTTCCAAGCCCCTTCAATTGTTAAGTTGCATTAGTTTGACTGTTAGACCCACACCACCCAACCGACTGAAAAAAAAAAACATAAAAAAATTGAGCTTTCTACTTTTTAAGACCTCTTCGAAAACACAATTGTTTACCACAATTTTGCTTTTTTCTCTTTCAAATGGTTCTTATCTCTTTTTTTTCTTAAATTAAGCAAACAAAATGGCGAATCAAATAGAACGGGAGGGTTGAATGCTAAGAATCACGTAGCGGATGGCGGGTCCAGTCTACCATCGGGCGAAAATCAACGAGCACGTACTCCTGCTTATTCACACAAAAAAAAAAAAAAAAAAAAAAATCAAAGAGGAATCTTATTGTGTGTTTAGAAAGGAAATTCGTGTCATGATTCGAATCATAATTCGTGACTCGTTATAATATTTTATCTCACAAAAAATACACGTAAAATAAAACTAATTTTAAATCATGATTTTAGATCCATAAACTAAACATCCACTTATTCATTCTTATGAGATTAAACCTCACTCTTCACGTAAAATGAGTCTTGTTAAATAAATAGGTGAGATTCAATTTAGTGAGATCCATTATTTTGTGAGTAATTAAGTTTTATCTCTATGAAAAGAAAAATAAGCATTTATGATGAGACCCCTTATAAAAAAACTCACATGTGAAACACCGTATTTTAACTGTTAAATTAAATTTTTAACAATTAAATTTGTACATATTCGTATTAAAAATTTATAGTGCGCCTCACAAAACAACTCTATCGGTTGATCCAATCGTTAAAAAAGTAATTCAAAATTTTGAGTGCAAGTTGTTCCTGCTTTCCGTAATTGACTTATTAAATTCAACATTGTGGTGCTGTGTGATATTTTATGTATAACTACGCCGTTTCACATGGAATGCTTCCAAATAGTTTGTTATATTCACACTTTCCTTGACGTTACATGCGCTGACTATTTTGTACTTATTATCATTTTCCACGAAACTAAAAAAAGTTGGGATGGCTTAATTTCCCGTTATATATAAATTCATGCAAAGTACACTGAAATTCAATATCAAAGTTTTTAAATCATTCGTTTTTTAGCACATTATTATTCTCTCTTTGCCCTTCTCTTCTAAGTCATAGTTATGGATCTCACCATCTCTCACTCTTCCCTGAAAGCAACACCTCTTATTTCTCAACGTTATAGGTTCTGCAATTTTCATGTCAGGAGCTCGATTCCAATTAAGCCTACAATTAATGATATCAAACCATCCAAGTACTTCCCTTCGTCAAAATACTCTGCCAATAAATTGATCCAGCCAATGGGGCTCTATGGAGACAGCAGATTGTCAAAACCCTTACTATTTGGCCAACACAATCGTAATTTCGTTCAGGTATTACACTTTATTTTATTTCTTTGCATCTTCTAATGTTATTATGGGTTGAAATATTGTTTAATCGCAATTTTCATCTTGTTAACTGATCTACGTCATGTAATAAAATCGGATGTGGAATTATTGTTGGATTATGCATGTAACCACCTTTTATATGAATAATGTTATTGAGAGGCTTTCTTGCAGAGCCATTAATTAATTTGAGCATATTTCATTAACTAAGTGTTCTCTATAGTTAGTACTCCTGTGATTTGATTATTACCTTTATTAGTTGCACTTCAAATTACTTTCAATTTCAAGTACTTATAAACTTAACTAATTATTGGTTTAGGCATCTGCAAAAATCGAATTTTCCGATTCAAACCCTGCAATTAGCAAAAATCAACCTGATGAAGCAGCTTCCAGTTTGGTTGCCAAAGTCTCACGTTTTGGATCCACTCTATGGACGTTCATAAGACCCTATACAATGACTCAAGCATTTACATCGTCCATGTAAGTTATCTTCTACAGAAAATTAATTAAATACAGAAAAAAAAAATCAAACAAAGTGATTTGCTATAGAAGAAATTAACTTATTTTTCTTTCAGATCCAGTTGCAAATAGTAATTTACATAACTTTATATGTCTTCTCTCTCTCTCTCTCTTATTTTAATTTACTTCATTTTATTGAGCAGATGTTTATTCGCAAGAGTATTGATTGAGGCACAGTTGTTTCAATGGCCTCTGATGTTTAAGGCATTCTTGGGCCTAATTAGTATAGTTCTTGCAACCGTTTACATGAATGGCGTTAATCAAATTTTTGACGTCGAAATTGACAGGTATGCTTCTACATAAATATAAACAATATATATATATATGTATATATATTTACATCAACACATTACCTGACGATTATATTGTAAAACAATCTGTTAAACTTAATACAACATCTAAATCAAAATAACAGTTATAAGAATCCCACTAATAAAAATCTCTGAATACCCATATAATTTGTTGTGCGTTCATGACGTGCAAAAGTTCCCTTTACCTTTATTTATTTATTTATTATCTGTGGCGAAAAACATTTTAGTTTATTTTTTCTTTATGTGATATTTTCAGGATGAACAAACCTCATTTACCCTTACCAGCAGGGAAATTGTCACTGAAACAAGCATGGTTCATGACGATATTTTCTGTATCTACTGGCCTCTCAATTTTGTGGTTGGTGAATGCTGACAGAATCACTACTTTACTCTACGGGGCTTGTGTTTTATTGGCGACTATGTATTCTGCTCCTCCGTTTAGATTGAAAGGAGATCCTGTTGCGACGGCTATTTTGATTCCTTTGGTATTTATTAGTTTCTTCCCATCTAAAATATTTTAATGAATTTTTATTTTAAATTAGTAATCTTTTTAGGTCGTTAGAAGTATGATAGTTCTCTAAAAGTTAAAAATGGAAGGAAAAAATTTATTTACTAATAATAATTTGAAAAATATAGTTTGAGATCAATCAACATGTAAGATTTTTATGGCGTAAAATTCTCATTTCAAGGACACCTTATGAGACATATTTTATTAATTAACATGTTGTGCTACTATTTTATATCTTTGTGAGTAAAAAAAAAAAAGTGATAATTTGTATGATGAAACTACTTATATATGCAGATGAGTATTTGTAACTATTCCGGTGTACTCTACGCCACAAGTACTTCTCTTGGGCTTCCATTCCAGTGGAGGTATGCCTAACGATTTTTTGTTTATTTATTAGTTTACGTATATATCTTGATCTTTCTCCTTCAAATTGAATTTTGGCAAGTTATCTTGTTAATTAATAATAATTTTCAATTAAATTTTTATTAGGGCCTTTTCTTAGTTTATTTTATTAGGATAAGATTTGGAAAAATACTTTTTAATTCGACCCATCAAGCACATGAGTGGGGTCTACGTTGCCTCACCAGGAGGAACCATCAACTGTATGGGACCGTATTTTTGATATTTTAACAAATTTTTACGTTATTAGATAACGTATCATAATAGGATTAATTAGATCTCGTTAGGATAAAAAAAATTAAGGCCTCGTTTATTTCGCTGATTCGAGTTTTGCTACAGTAAAAAGCTCT